TTTTATGCCGAGGTTGGTTGAAAATATATATACTAAATACAATGATTAACCATGTGCATTAATTAGTGTGCATTCAAATTTGTGTTTAAGATTTCTATGGATGTACAATATGAATATATGAAAGCACCTGTGAGCCAGGATCTTACCAAATAATTAATATGAAAGGACAGGCCTATTTATTAGGAATGTAGCTGCTCGTAAAACAAGAAAGGTGAGGTAATAAAACCTAATAAAATGGTTTGAGTGTCAAGAGTCATCTGGTGTGAATATCAAGGTACATGGCTAATTGAGGATTCAACCACTGAGTGGTCTAGGGGTCCTGAGAGCAGTTTGTCGAAGCAGTTATATTAGTAAAGATTTGGTCATCCTTGTTCTAGTCACATTTCAGTTTGTATTATCTTTCCTTTGACGTTCACTACAAAATTGTTGACTCTTGCTTTTATCATTAATCAAATTACATGTTTACATATGTATATATGTACATATTTAATAAGCTATCACGGGACCTATAACAGTCTGATTTCAATGTGTTCTCAATCACTGCCTAGTGACTGTAGACAGAACTGGTTATGAATGCATTCAACCCAGAAAAGCTTGGTAGCCATTTTATGTCAAACTTCACAAAGCAATGTTTTTATACCACATAATAACACTGTTGATAAGGATAAAAGATGACATAACATAGCAACAATTCTACGAATGGCATACGATGAGTGCTGGCGATTTCTGAAATGTGTTCCTTGCCATGAGTACCAACTTCCTGACAAAATCTTACAAGGCAGGTGAGTCCAAAGGTGAGGAATTGAAAATCCCAAGTTAAGAAATGGGCAAAATGACAAACAAAACAGGAAAAGGTAAAAGGACAATTGCACGAGGGATACAGAAAGATAACATAATAGACAAACTGACAACCAGCAGACAAGAGACAGGACTATAAATACAAAAGGAACTAATCAGACAACAAGACACGAGGGCAGGCTGAAAGCTGATAGGTGGAAGAAACGAAAAGGGACAGCGCAAGGCTTTCGAGACAAAGACAACACAGGTGAAAAAAGGAGGGAAAATCACAAAGACAGGAAGTCAAACTACCACAGGGACACAGGAGGCAGGGACCTTTAAAATAAAACGGTAAACTCAGGCCCAGTCCCAATGTCCCCCCTAAAGCCTCAAACCCTGAACCCTCAAAGACTTACTGACATCACCTGGTAAGTGGTTGAGTGTGAGAAACTGAGGGCTTGAGATGGTGTAAATAGGAATGGGACAGCACTTTGCTGCAACATATCACGTTACCATGTGAACAACAAAAAATATGATGTGTAATTGTGGGTATTTATTTTATACTTTGTACTCCCTGATTTGAATGTCTTCCAGGCTCTTTCCTCAGAAGATGAGAGGTAACTTTATATCATCTATTTACTCGTTTTTGTCAAAACAGCTTCAATGACAAAATGAAATATTTGATGAATAAATAAATAAATATCTTCTGATTTCATGTTTATTTTTTGTTCCATCTTTAACCCTTAATGTTTCTGAGTAAATTTAATAAGACAGGCTGAACACACGTGATCCGTCCTCTTTGTTTACCTTTTTTTTTTTTACGTCTCCATGCGTCCACTGGTTACCCCGTGTTTAACGTCACATTGCAATGATTTGTGGGTAATTCCCTTAAAGTAATAAGGGATTCCCCAAAGTCTGCATCCAATGCTGACTTGCGGAAAGGGCTCAAAACATCTGCCAGAGAGCCCCAAACACTCCTAAACCCTCACCGACTTTGCGGGAGCGTGCCTCAAAGTCTGTGAGTCCGTAAGGGTGGACATTGGGATTGGGCCACACTAAACCTAGACCAAGATTGTCACATTTAAAGGTGACTTCCTGTTATCAACTTCCTGTATTTCTTAGAGGACCTACTACCTGTGACAGAAAAGATTGAATTTATTGTTATTAACTTAACAACGGAAACATAAGATCTAGTGTGCATTTATTGATTATTTTCCTCAGACATACTAAACTTCTTTTACTGCTCAAAGTTAGAATTATTCAACTATTTCATGTGTGTGTAATACATGCATCCCTTTGGGCACAGGCTGACAAAAGTTACACAAAAATGGCAACAACACACATGTAAGCATGTATACCAGTGGCATAGCAAAAAGCTGCACCATACCTCCTGTCTCTTGATATTTTCTAACCTAAGCATGTGCTTTAGATTGGAAACGTTGTGTTCCTCTTGTACATAAAGTTCCACATCATATTTGGATCTTGGATCTGCTTGACGGCTTGCTGGAGGTGGAAGATCAGCTTTTCACAGCTGATCCAGTAGCAGCTTTTAAAATTGTATCATTCAGTGTGACAATACATTATTCAGTAAAGCAGTGCGGATAATTAACATTAGTTAAATATACTATAATGTGCTAATTCAGTGTGAAAGAGCAAGTTGAAGTATACTACAGTGTACTGTGTTAATTATGCTATCCTGTTAGCACTGCAAAGACTCACTGACTGCATACACCATCACTGTTTGTCCTCTGTTTCAGAACATCTGACATACTGTATTATTTCCTCAGTTCATTAAAGCTTTAGTAAGATATATATATTTATATATTCGTCCTACAGCGTTTTGCTTTGTACAGTATGCATTTCGAAGCATTTCTTAGAACTACTCCGTCGTATGTTTGCTGTATATTTTCAATCAAATGCAACATGACACACACTAAGCCAGTACTCAAATGTATCGAGGTGTGATACCTAACCTACCAGATAACCTGCCTATCTGTTAACTAATTATCATAGTTTACCGATTTTGCTGTTACTATACAAGAAATCCACACATTTTTTACACAAATAAAAGGATGTCATATGCTTACACACAGATATCAATACAAATTGTGACTTATTATTTATTTGATTAAATCTTATTTGTTTGCTTGTTCTGCTCCGTGCTTAAGTTTTTTAAAGAAATACCTGCAAAAGCATGATAACTCAGATGGTGACAATGTTAAACATTAGCATGTTAACACTGATAGCATGTTAGCATTCAGCAAGGCTGTTCTTTGACTCACTTGAGGTATTCAACCGGACATTTGCACAGCGTGACTGCATCACAGACTCACACTGCTTAGCATTAGTTGAGACATATTTGGGACACAGCTCTAGCTTGAGAAAACGTGAAAACAGTTGATACTGTAATATATTGGTAATATATTTAATCAGGTAGTTTGATGTGTTCTTTTTATTTGTTGCAGAAACACAGTTTCAAGATCCCTAATCAGTCTTGGAATTGTAAGACCATCAGTTCGTGGAGGGACTGTTGAGATCGAGGATTCTAGTTCAAATGTACATTTGCCCATCTCACCTGTTTTTTTTCTCGGCCTCTGATTTTAGAAAGTGCGAGGAGCAAGCGAGATAAGAGAGGGACAAAGTGGAGGTGACACGCGGGGGGATGGGGGGGGTAGTCCATCAATGAGATAAAAGCACACAGGGAAAAAAGTCAGAAAAATAGCAGGAGCCATACAAGAGCAAGGTTGGAGTGTTTGCAAATAGGTCAGTCAGCAGAGAGGGACATCCATCCATCATGGCTCCATCAAAAATGCAACAGCTGCAGCTTTTCTGATGAGCAGTTAGATTAAAGACGTATAGAACCGCTCTGGTCATCAGTCACACTGCTCCCAGCTGCATGCTGTTAAGTAATGAGGCTGCATGTAATTCATACCAATGTATTAGTCGTAAACACACACACATGCACCGACACAGCAACACATGTGAGGTCTGTAATTGGTTAAGATGGGAGCTAGATGAGGGTCTTTGTAGCACCACAGACCCCTGCAGCATCAAGCTTTAAGAAGGGGGAGGGAGGCGCTAATCTACAATTTACTCTTTGTGCTTGTGTGTTCACCTGCTGCATGTGTGGCCGTGAGTCACACAAGAAATGTTTGTGTGTTTTCAGTATGCATGTCATACATCAGATTATTGGGTTACTCCATGGGTGTGTTTGTGTTTATCCGTCTGCATACATACATCTTTTGTTTCATACACTTGCTGGTAAAGTCATCCTGTGTGTGTGCGCACATATTCATGCAGCAGGAGTCATTGTTGTAAGACTGCGTGTGTGTGTAGGTGTATGTGTGTGATTAAGTACTGGGAGGCAGCTCTGCATGAGAAGCTTAGGGGATATGCAGTCAGATAGCGTCTCAGCCCGGCAGTGAAACAGACTGTTTGCCTGGAATCTTCAAGACTGATATACTGTCAACAACTCTGAACTTTCTTTACGGGGGGGGTGTATGAGTTTAGTGACATCCTCAACAACAGACTGTGCTGAATGAGAAACTATAATTACATATAACTACATACAAAATGTAATGTCATACCATTATTTTTGATGACTTGCTTTTAAGTATTTGTTTTTCTTCCATCATACAATTCAGTAATGTTCCTGATGAAAAGACCAAAATCCCAATTGTTCCATAAGTTCCTTGTTAAAGAAACTCAACACAACATAAGTAGCTTTTTAACTGGTGTGGCTACATGGCTAGCAGCAGGAGTATCCATCTTCGACTAATACATGTTTTTTCAGTTCTTCCCATTCTGCCGACATCGGGTGAATGAAGCATTATCACACAGAGATGAGATTGATGTCGACCTTTTCATCTCACCCTTCAAAAGAATGTACATATGTGTATTATACAGAAATTCTATAGATATTCTCAATAATTTCACTTTGTATAATACCAGATTTAGCAACAGAGTACTTTCAAAGGTCCTGCAAATAAAGCAAATTTCAGTTTTAGAGAAAAACCTAGAGAGTGACTGAGATGGAAAGAGGAGGGAGAGGATTGGATAAAAGTACTGCGAGGGACAGAGAGAGAGATAAAGGGAGGGAGGGAGGCAGGGAGAGGATCAAGGGGTGTATGAGAGGGAAAGAGGCTGATAGGGAGGGACTTAGAGGGAAAAAGATAAAGAGAGCTGAGAGGATACACAGAGAAGAGAGTCGTAGAGGAAGAGAGCAGATAGATCGTGCTTGTAGTTCAACAGGGTGAACTGACAGAGACAGAGAAGTGTCCGCGGAGAGAGTCTCAGGAAATATGTGGACTTAGTGCACTCAGCAGCGTCTCGGAGGGACAATGAGAGGCTTGTGTGAGGTAACTGCTCTGCTTTTACTCCTAGCACTGCTTGTTGATGAGAAAATGAACACAAGAGCACTGACTCTACACCAGAGTCTTCAAATGAAGTCTCTGAGGTACTCCTCTATTCCTTAATGCTGGGTTATTTCATGTGTTGCCAAATCTCAAGGTATATTCTGGAAGTGTTTAACGGGAGAGGTGGGACAGTAAGCCGGGGGGGTGTTTCTAGGCTCTCGTAAATCAATTAAAGAAGTGACAGCTAAAGGAGAGGAGCTGCAATCAGGACATGTTGTGCATTCCTAAGCGGGAAAGCCTGTTCACTCTGCGGTCTAAGCCCTTCACTTTATGATTATGTGATGTGAAAGCTTGATTGCAGTTGTATTCTCAGCTGGCTGTGGTGGATTGGTGGGTCAACACATAAAGGTTAAACATTCCTTTTAAGTAACATTTACATATTGTTTTCTATATATTGGCCCCTTTAAAAAAAAGTGGTCTTGAAGTTGACTGTTGGTCTTTTACAACTCGACTGTGAGCTGAGTTTATGCTGCGGGGAAATGAGGCGCTCCCAAAATTCCGGATTGTATCTTTAAGCTTGTATTTCATTGACTTATTAACATTTAACATTATTCATCTACATTTCCCAGTGATGTAATATTAAGTCCTCATCATTGATGTGATAACCCTTTTCTTTTTAATTCCACTCTCATTTACATAGTTACATTATCTGTCATTGCACTTTGGAACACTGAAGGGTGGATATTATTTGATTGCACAGCAATCATCATTATATTGATACCTGGTTATGTCATTTTGTGTTTTACATTATATTAAACTGATGGCTGCATCACACCGTTTTTGAATTCCCTGACATGCCAGGTGAGGAATATTCTTCTCCTAACAGAGACATTGTAATTGTTAAGGTCATTGTAACATTCACATAGTTAGTGAGAAGAGACACATTCCCCTGTGCTCTGTTTTGGATGTTAATGCAGTCGTTATTAATAGAGCTCAATGAACAGAATGGGGGAAGTAGTAAAGAGTTGGAGGCTGGTTTGGATCTGCAGTCTAAAGGCGTTTTTCATTAATTCATGAACTCGATTTTTCTGAGCTTTAGCACTGTATTAAGCCACGTTGTGCAGAGCGGACATAGTCAATATGTACAGTGTACCACAACACGGACGCTCCGTAGATTGAACCAAGACAGCAAACTTTATTTCTCCTTCCAACCTTGACAAAGGCAGCACAGACCAGTTCCACTCCTTCTGTTCTCACCTTTCACAATACAAACTCGAGACATATACACTGTAACTGTTAACCAGAGGGAACTCATATTCACTCATTTCATTAAAAGGAAACTTGATAACATATCTTACAGCAGATGATGTTATGCAACAGTTTACCTCGGACAGACTGACAGACGCTGGTCTGGTCAATAGGATCCTGGTAGTTGGTCCTCTGCCTGCAGGAATCTATTCAAACCTTTTATTAATAATGTTGCAACTGTCCCAAATTTGCATCGCTGCCGATATGAATAGCTTTCATGGGAAATATTCGCAGGCGAGTATTTCACATTTGGGTGTTGTTTATTCGCTGTGGAAAGGCCTTTAGAACGCTAGAGTTCACAATAGTGTGGGAGCAGCACCCGACGATTAAGCAAAGATACAGCAGTTGAGTGATAGTATTTTCGATTAACGTTTGACACCGGATGGTTTAAGCCTGGGTTCAACCTACAATAATTGATTTGTTGGCCACTTGTGTGCAGCACAGCTGTAAACACAACACAATAACACCTTATGAAGTTGATATGTAACAGCTACCTAATTAGCTGAAGTTAATATCGCAGCTACATTTCTCTGGTAAATGAAGCCTTTCGATGACTTCCAGTGGTTTTGTCACTACGAGCGACCCCTTTCACATTATATAAATTCATGTTTTTGTATAGATTTGTGCTTGTATTAGGCTATAAAACTTAATAAAAACCCTTTCAAAGTCAGACTGCTTTCTCTCTGGCATTTGACGAATTGTATTATTGAAAATATCCAACATAGCTTCCACTATACTCTTGTAGATAATGTCTATGATCAAACACTACTTAGTTAAGTCAAATGTTCTAAATAACAAACTTCCCTCCTTATGAAATGTCAGGTTCCCTTGTCTAGACCGTATTCAGTGTCAAAACGTGATGAGAAGCAGGTGTTTTAGTTCTCCAAAGATCGGAGCTTATGTTTGAATCAGTGGGAAATAAACCTGTAACACACTGTATTTAGGTGATAGTTAATAACTCTGATGAGCTAACACAAATGTTAGAGTAGCAATCGTGAAAACAGTCTTTAGACACTAGAAAAGCCACAACCACATGAACTCATCTGGAACGTGTGGCAATGAAGCGATAAAAACGCCTCAAGTCGACATTAAAGAGAATGTTTTTGGATCTGTTAATACCGATTGATTGGATTAGGTGTTTAAGTCTCTTATTAAGCACTAATGCCAACCTCCTCTGGTGGCAGCTTCTCAAATGTGAGGATTCTTTGTTCTTCTATATTTTATAGCATTCTTAACTGAGTACTTTGGAGTTTTCACTGTTAGACAAAGGCTTCCCTACCTGCATAAAACACCTTTCCTGTAGGTATCTGTCTGAATTTGGTGTTGTGTAGTATTAGCCTGATGATACTGTGTCCACCTGTGGCAAACTGGGTTGACTGTCACACACTGAAGAACGGTCTACTTATGCTAGAATAAATATCAGAACTGGAGTGATATGCTGGACGTGGCAAAGCTGTATAACTGATTTTTCTCCAACAGATATATAGACTCCTTCCTGAATGGAGATATCAAGTAGCTCTCCCCTTCTTTCTAATAGCACCTGGGCCGTAGGTAGAGGAGTTTAGTACTGAAGGATTTACCTCAAACTAACCTCCCACATTTGATTAAAGGAACCGTGTGTAACATGTAGGGGGATTCATTGGCAGAATAGGAATATAATATTCAGAACTATGTTTTCATTAGTGTATAATGACCTGAAACTAAGAATCATGATGATTTCTGTTAGCTTAGGAAAAGCCATTTATATCTACCTGGCGAGCAGGTCGTCTTCCACAGAGTCCTCCATGTTGCACCACCATGTTTCTACAGCAGCCCAGAAGGGACAAACGGAACACTGGCTCTAGGGAGAGGCTTTCACGTTTTTACATTGCTTAAAGGTTAGGGATGAGTACTGGCACTCATTATTACATACACATAGTCCCAAACACACACACAGACTGAAGACAGAGAGGCTGCGGTGGAGACACTGAAGAGCTGAGAACAACTAAGCTCGTTACTGTTGGTGCAATAAAACATTCTTATAATATTTGATCAATGCATCTGTTCAACAAGCATGAACATGTAAACAAAAGAGAAACCTAATTCACTCTGCTCTGTCCTCAGTCTCTCATCCACAACTGCTGTGTTTACACAAACACAGCACGCCAGCTCTGCTAATAACACATTTTTACAAACAAGTTACAACAGAAGCTGTTTGTCTGTAGACCGTTTATCTTAGCTTGTTGAGGGCAGGAGGAAAGACTGATTCTGACTAATGTCGAACAATATTTAGTTATATTTAAAATACAAAGAGATTGTTATCCTGTTCTGAATTTATTTGTCTTTTTTAATTCTATATATGTTTCAAATGCGATTATTTAGTCATGAAGAGGAGTATTGATAAGAAAAGTTCTACCTGAAGGCCACCGTAGCGATGAGAGGAGATTTTGGTTTTAGTATAAATGTTACGGTTCACAGATGCATGGCGGTCTAAAATAGATGTAATACATTCCAACTGCATTCTTCTATTATTTGGAACTACTCTAGCTCATATGCAGTAGGTGCATAAAGTATGTGTGCCCCAAACATTACAGCCATGTGTGATTGTTCAACATATTATTTAGATCAGCACAATGCTATGAAAGCCTCCACTCTTCATACTTAGACAAAGCAACATTCACTAAATCAAACTATTAGGATTTCATCCATTGCACTTGCAGGGCTTCTTGTTCATGTTAGCTTAAAAAATGATTGAAAGACGTGGGAAACAACTGGTAAATGGACCTTGACTTGGGATTTCCAAGGTCACAAATGCACTTTGAACCTTAACTTTAAGTGAACGCACACTCATAGCATGATAGTTGTCACAATAGGAAATACAGTGGGTACGGAAAGTATTCAGACCCCTTTAAATTTTTCACTCTTTGTTTCATTCCAGCCATTTGGTAAAATCAAAAAAGTTCATTTTATTTGTCATTAATGTACACTCAGCACCCCATCTTGACAGAAAAAAACAGAAATGTAGAAATTTTTGCAAATTTATTAAAAAAGAAAAACTGAACTATCACATGGTCATAAGTATTCAGACCCTTTGCTGTGACACTCATATTTAACTCACATGCTGTCCATTTCTTCTGATCCTCCTTGAGATGGTTCTACTCCTTCATTGGAGTCCAGCTGTGTTTAATTAAACTGATTGGACTTGATTAGGAAAGGCACACACCTGTCTATATAAGACCTTACAGCTCACAGTGCATGTCAGAGCAAATGACATGCACTGTGGCATTTGAGCAATTGTGAGCAATTGGCATAGTGTAATATTTACTCTCTTATCAAGCATTTTGAGGCTTGATTTGTAACCAGAGGTAAGAACAGTATGAAGTCTACCACAAAGACATGCTTGAAAGCTCTGGAAAATGCTAGTGAGTGGATCTTGAGTTTAGATTTTGATTTGCAGAGAAGCATTAATGAGGTTTGGTAATAATGCAGAGATGTTAGTACCGGAGGTTGGATGTGGTTGAGCACAGGGAAGCTATTCCACAACTCATTTTCATGGATCTAGCTTTGTGCACGGAGGTATTGTCATGTTGAAAAAAAGAAAGACACAAACTGAGGAATCCATGGTGCAATGACCAGAAACATCTAATCTGTGGTTCTAAACTGGTCTGGGAAAGACATTCACAATTACCAAGATCATCATCACATACATATGGTAT